CCCTGAGGCCCCCCTCGGCCGCGCACGTGCCTCGGGCCGTGATGTGCGCTGTGGCCCCCTCTCGCCCCGGCCCCGATCCTCGACGCGAGGCTCAAACTGCGCGAGGCAGGCAGCGACCCACCACCGAGCAGTGGGCAGGGCGGCCCGCCCCGTGCTCCCGAGCTGTCCGGGGCCGTCTCGGCGGTGAGGAGCAGGTCGTTGCGCCAGAGGCCGAGGGGCAGAGGAGGGGAGGGGCAGGGGGGGAGTGAGCGACGAGGGGGACGGGCGGCGGTGCCGGACCGCAGATCGTTGCGCCAGAGGCCGGGAAGCAGAGGGGAGGAGGGGAAGGGGGGCAGGGGCGACGAGCGACGGGCCGTGGTGCTGGACCGCCCGCGGGCGCGCCCGCGCGTCCGCCATTCCGAGGGCATCCTTCGAAAGAGAGCCTGTGCCTGCTCGGGGGTGGTGCTGTTGTGGCCCAGCTGCGCAGAGGTTCCCCTTGGCGGCGCAGAGGTTCCCGTCGGCGCCTGCAGTGACCCGGTGCCCGCCGACGCGAACCCCAGTGACGGCCAAGTCCACTGAGGCCGTGGCGTGGTGTCCAGCTCTGGTGTCCACAGGTGTGGTGGCGTCTACCTGGCCTGAACTGTGGTGACGTCTGCCCGGCCAGAGGCCTGGTGTCGTGCACCCGGCCGCCGCCGGCGAAGCCGACCGACTGAAAAATATCTGCGCATGTCGTGGCCCGTGCGGTTAGCAAATTCCTCCCCTTCAGGGTCGACAGCCCTCCTCCTCCTCCTCCTCCTCCTCAAAATCACAGAGCTAATGTACCAGAAGAAGCTGTGCTGCAACATTCCTCGTGGACCGGCCTGTCCGCCCAATGCATCCGGAGGGGCCTCCGGGAGCACCCTTTGTGGGGGCGCCTGGCCCGGTTCATCCGCTACTGCACGGCAGAGGCGCAGAGAGGCAGCACTCTTCATAATATATGTTGCGGAGATTGATTGCCTCTGCCTTCCGCGTGCGCATGTCGGCGCACCCGTCACGCGGATCGTGCCCCATAGGGAGCTCCACCCGTGGCTCGTGCAAACTTCGGCACACCGGTCGTGCAGATCTTGCCGCACAGGGAGCTCCACCTGTAGCCCCAGTGGCGGTGTCCACATGGCGCCTTCTTCGCGCTCATTTTGCGCCACACCCCTCACGCAGGTCTTGCTCCATAGCCTCACTTCTGGCCCAGTGCGCTCATTTCGGCACCCCTCACGCAGATCTTGCCCCATAGGGAGCTCCACTCGTGACCACTCAGGGGGTGTCCACATGGCGCCGCCGCGGCCATTTCGGCACACCCCTCACACGGACCATGCCCCATATGGAACTTCATCTATGGCCCCAGCGGCGGTTTCCACCTGGCGCCGCCGCGCACATTTCGGCACACACCCCTCACGCGGATCGTGCCCGATATGTAGCTCCACCTGTGGCACCCGTGGGGATGTGCACATGGCGCCCCATGGAGGCCCCTCGCTCCGCAAGCGGAGTTGGAGAGCGTGCAACATTGCGGCAGCTAAGCGCGCATTCAGGAGAGAATAGGGCAGCATTGCAGGCAAATTCGCGCCGTGCTCTTGTCGTTCAATGGGCTCGACGGCATCTGTCCATCTTCGACGCGGCCGGCCTCGGCGTCGAAGTCCGGGCGGGCGCCAGCGAAAAATCTGCGATGGACATTCTTGCGGGTCGCCGGTGACAAGACGTGCCACAAGGGCCACATTGAGCGGATCGCGTGGAAAATGCCTAAGGCGACGCGCATTTTGTTGTTTGCAACGTCGCCCCGCTGCCGCCCAATGATCGCCAGTGAGCTTGTTGAAATCAACTAACCAGCGGAGTAGTAACGACGTTGCCGCTTCCAACGTCGAAGAGCCTCTCGTTCTGCAGCTTGCCAGTTGTCAGTTGCCTGTCATGACGTCCCAGGTGTTTCACGAGTGCCTTGGTAAGACGTTCCGTGGCGGCATGCACAGCAGACCAGCGTACAATGTCAACGATCGCCTGGAGTATGGGGAAGGTTTCATGTGCACAAAGCAGCTCTTCTGACTGGAGCTACATCGTCTTGCCTTGAGTTCGAAACTGCTCGACGCGGGCGTCATGCCCACCGGTGTCGACGGTCTGCCGACGACAACCATGACAGCACTGACCTGCATCGACACGTCGCCCCCGCGCCCAGGTCAGCAGCACACACACACACACACACCTCTCACACAGATTGGCCAAATATGGAGCACGTGCGGCACCAATGAGAGCGCACGCGTAGCGTCAGCCCGCTCTTCTCGGCACACCCCTCACGCGGAGCGTGCCCCACAGTGAGCTCTCTCTACGGCGTCAGCGAAGGCGCTCGCACAGCGTTTCCCCCCCCCCCCCCCTTCATTTCGGCACGCCCCTCACCCAGATCGTGCCCCACATGCCTCTCGACCTGCGCTACCAGCGGGCACGCCCGCACAGCGTCACCCAGCCCAGTTCGGCACACTCACGGCTCGTGGCGCCTAGGGAG